CGCATTTTCAACGGCCGTTGGCTCTGCTAGACGACCGCGATTTCATCGATAAATACTCGATGTCGAATTCACGGCTTAAATATGCCAACTCCTTGATCGAAGTGGTGATCATACGTGATGTGTGTTCCTCTTCCGAAAGGCGGATTGTAACTTATTGGGTTAAGTTACAGTTTGTACTCAACAAGACGTTCTAGAGAATACTACGTTCCTTTCAAACAACGTTTGATTCCAAAATCAGTTGAAAATATTTCTATTATAGTCCAGACTTTACAGCTAGCAAAATTTGAATGCTCTTCTAATATTGTTGGAATATATTCTTTTGCTATATTAGACGCAAAAAATGAAATAAAAAGTGTGTGCGTTTTCTCATAACCCCGGCTGGTTCGCACGGTCTCGTTAGCCGCCATAGTCGCTATAATTTTATCCGCCATTGTCACGCGTGGGCAACACGTGCGCGGCGCAGCGCGCGCGCCGCCGCGCCGGCGGCGCCGTCACAAGCGCGCAATTTTCCACCGGCGCTCGCTTACATTAACCGGGTTCGAAGGCGTGAAAATATTATATGCATTTTAATGCAAAACGAATGGGATGATAACGCCATAATAGCGCGCTGCTGAGGCTCATTTCCAACGTGACTTTTGTCCCGGCCACGCGCGTTAGCGCAGCCCGCGTGCGCCGCGAGGTGAGCCAGACAATGGGCGCTAATTGCGGGCGGGCTCGTGCGGCTGCCGCCCGCGCCGCCCGCGGGCGATCGCGCCCGGGCAGCTCTCATTTCCATTAGAATAGCGGCGCGCGGGCCCCGTGAATGCGCCTGATTATTGCTAAATTCGTCGAAATACTTGGCGCGCGACTCGGGCTCCAAGCCGGCCCTTGCTGGCGACGGCGCGCCACTTCGCGGCGACATGCGCCCCGCCTCGCCCGGTCCCCGCCTCGCCCCGCCATTCCCCGACCAGTCATACGCCGTTCTGCTTTTCATTGCTTCCCACAGCCCCGCCACACCACGCTAGGAACGGCCCAGCCATCCCCGATCCTCTACTCTCTCAATGCCCGTCTCGCCTCGCCCCGCCTCGTCTCGCCTCGCCCCGCCTCGCCCCGCCCCGCCTCGACCGCAATTATCCCTCAAGAGAGAGAGAGAGAGAGAGAGCGCAAGCGAAGGCGAGGAAGTCGGCGCGCGCGACAAGCGAACGGAGCGGCGTGGAATGAAGCGGAGCGGAGCTGAAGCGCGACCGCGAGGGGGCGGGGCCGTGAGCCACGCGCTCGGAGCGAAGCGCTGGAATCTGGAGAGGACGCGAGCGGGGCCACGACAAGGCCGGGCCGTAAGTTACGTCTGCGCTTGGGAGCCCTGCTCCTGGCGAGGGGGGCGCCGCTGTCGACAAAGTCTCGTCATTCTGTACGACTCGTGATCTTTCAATTTACACTAGCCTTTTCACAGATATTATTGCAATATATTCTCGGCTGTGAAAGTAATATACATATTCAATTATTGCATATAATGAATCGACTGCAATCAAAAACAACTATCTGATAGCGTAACAATAATATTTGTTTGGTCTTTGGAAACAATTCAGTCGACAAGAACTCACGCTTCACACTCACAAAATATTTCTACGGTTTACATATACGGTCAAGGTCATCAGACTTCTTTGATAGGCTAGAATAATATAAACATTTAGTTCAAAACTAGTTGATGCAAAGAACTGTATGATATTAATCCACGACAAAATTTCCAATAAAGTGGATAAACACGTGTTTGTATCGCGTGGTATAATGGCTTGAGGCTGCGTCTTCCACCTCTGAGGATCGAGGTCTATCTCAGACCAATCCATGCAGCATTAGTGAGCTCCGAGCAGGCTCTTGCATAGCACTTCTTTAATTCTCTTCGTTAGTGCCATCATCTACTTATTAGATCACCAATGGTTCTCAAAGCAAGCAAGCTATCAGCTTTCGAAGAGCACCTGAACTCCGATAAATATACAAACCAGGGGAGCTCAAGATGGAGTAAGAAACTGATAGCAAATGCTTCGGACTCACTAAAGAGACACTGAAGACGCGTGCTATGCGCTTCCAGTTGAACGTACAAACATGTCACTATTTTTCTCAATTAACAATCAATTTGTTAATCTTATTCTTTAATCTACGATCATATTATTGTAGATATAATTAACATTTCATTTTCTTTTATCCAGATTTCTACAACGTTTTTCAGTTTGACCAATTGGTAAAATATTTGATCAAAAATATAATTTTACATATCATACTTTTTCGTTGTAAGCTGAAATAGTACTGTAGGAAAACTGTAACTTCTTGAATCTGAAAAAATAATAAATAAGAAAAACCCATTTAGAGAAAGTACTTAAATAACTGCAATTGTTAAAAGAATTCGAGCCGTTTGTAATTTAGACAACAGCCACTGCTCTGTCTCGAAAGTTTGAGTGAGAAATCTAAATATGCAGAATTGTTTTTACACAAAATAGAGTCAACAACCATGCGATACGTTACATGCCATTATCAGCGCCCTGGAAATAAAATGTTCAAACATTGTTTCTCTCCAACTAAAATTGGGTCTGCGATTTATACAAATAATTCAAAATTGTTTAATTATTTATTTTAAGCCCTACTAGTTGGTATAGTGGGAGGTTAGAATTGAATTGAATTTGCCTTATTTTACGTGGCGAGACTCGGGCCATCAGACCCGCTCTTCCGTCTGACCACGCAATTTCGCTACGCTCCTTTCACCAACTAGGAGAGAAAGGAGGCATTTCTTTGGCGAGAAACAGGCGATTTTGAATTTAGCTCAGAGGCGTCATTTAGGCTTGAGGATCTTTTACATGCAAGTAAATCTACGAACATGGGACAGCCGGCTTTACTTCCCCTCCGAAGGAAGGCGTACGAAGGATTTTTTCGCCCTTAAAAATACACGTCTTCGATCGGGTTTGAACCCGCCAACTTGGGTACAACAGTCCAGTACGCTAACCGTTACACCATCGCCGCCATTAATTGAAATTGATAATAGAATTGAAATTGAGTTACCTGCACATCTGACAATGATTTTACAACAAAACAGTTATGAATTTATGATATTTTCTTATGGCTAGGAAGAGGATTTTGTGGTCCATTTCCAATTCATTTGAAATTTGAGATGAGAAGAATTTAACTGATATTAACTGTAATTGCTATTAACGGATCATCTACATTACGGGATTTTAACTGAGGGTTAGGGGTCTCGTGTAGACACGAGGTCATTTTCTGCAACTCCTGATATTTTTTGGCAAAATATTTTTTTTCAAAAAAAGCACGATAAATATTTATTGGGAAGAGAAAGCTAGATTTTATTGTTCGAGGATTGGAAGAACCGCCCCAACTATTAGAGCTGGGCGGTTTACAAGCCGACACGTTCCTGCTCACCAAACAAGAAAAGATACCACATTTTTAATTTCTATCAAGCAAATAAATAGAAAGGTTTAAGAAAAGTGGGAATAAAAATAACTTCATTTATTAGGCGCACTTATTCTTGAGTGTTTTCTTGTGTGAAATTTATTAAAGATTATTACAAACGTCGGCTTCTTGTTTCTTCCTTGCTGTTTCTTTTGAGGTTAGGTTGAAAAGTAGAGATGAACATTCGTTCATTGACAGTTACAGCAGATTAATTACAATATCCTCACTAAATTGATCATTTATAAAGTTTTTGGTGAATACATAATGAACTTCAGTATGTATCTACCCTTTAGTATTGCGGCACCATCCTTCCTGCTGTAGATCTGATTATGAAATATAAATTATGCTTTATTTATTAAATAATTGAATATACATTTTGTATTTGATATACATATTGAAATATAATAATGTTTTTTAGAAATGTAAATGTTTTTGTTCTCAGCATTCCTCGACCGAGCGCGCGTTGGCCGTGGGAGCGCTGCCTGACCTTGTGTGCCGCACAGTTATATTCAAAATATCTGTTAAACAGGAGTCGAAAATAATCAGAATTACCTAAAGAATGCTTGTCTAACATAAGTATGTTTTTTCACTACATAGAATAAAATACATGCATATTGGTATTGTGGCAAGTTTGTGTTGGCATTTACAGTGAAATAATTATGAGTCATCATTGTCAACAATATTGTTTATTAAAAGAGCAGTTTTGGATGGTGTATCCATCATCATTAGTTTTCTACAGTTAACAAAAACGTGAGTCAAAAACATTGTAATCAATAGATTAGTAATAATTTAAAATTTAGAAAATAGAATTAACATTTTAAGAACCGAGAAAGAAAGGGAGTGTTAAAACATTTAATATTACAAGAAAATGAATGAAAATGAATTTGAACATATGAAATTTTTGAAATACGCAGAGAACATGACATGTAAGTTGAGCCGTTTCTTACCTGCTGTATGGAAGCCACAAAACGACTACGCAGAAAAAGTTGCACACAAAATACACGAAGCAATATTATTAATATATTATATCGTGGGCAATGACCACTCATATAATTATTTTCAAAAATATGAATTTGCATATAAATCCAGGCTCTACTGCTGTGTTTTCAAAGCTATCCCAAGCAATACATTTTTATATCCGAAAATGCAATATAATGTTGAGGTGGTTGTAATATTTTTCATTGCTAAAATTATAGCATAGGGAGAAAAAAATTTTTAAAAATTGGCTCTTACGAGACTGGATTTTTCTATTACTTAACATGTATTTTCTTTTCATTTCAATTTTTTATGTACTCTGACAGAATTGCTAAATAATGTAAATCAAGAAATATTGTAAATCAAGTATTTCGTAATTTATCATCGTGGATTGGTCTTTGAGAAGCTAATTTTTCGTTTGCCTTGCAGGTCACGAAAGAAGGGTAAGTTGTTGAAGGGTGTAATAAATGATATTCTAGAACATGATTATATATTTATTCATAAATACATATTTGTGATTAAAAGGATATTACAGTGCTGATGCGCGCAAAGTGCAAATGGTATGAGCTACAAATGTAACCCTTGCAGAGAGCAGAGAGGGGGTGAGTGGAGGGGAGCTGCTCTGCACCTGAAGCGATAGCCCAAGCAGAGCAGCGACTCGCTGTGCTTGGCCCGTAGCTTCGCGGTCGACTCTCTCCTGGGAGCAAAGCCAGCTAGCGAAGACGTGCGGCCGGCTTCCTTCAACGTTTGCTCACCGAGTCGTAATCCTTTGCTCCTGTGCGATGCGAGCGCCTTCCGAGACATGACGAGAGTATCCGCATTGCTTTGTCAGTTATAATTTTTAAGTATTGCCTCTCACCGTGAAAAGTTAATGATAATGGCTTACAGCACACGTATTGTATGTCCAGATTTATATTCTGGAGAAAACCAAGCTCGAGAGTATAGGTGCAGGTATTTAGGTCGCAACCATGTTTGGATCCTGAAAAAAATCATAATCATTTTTATATGGACTTACAATCTTTGTACACTATGTAGATATGAGCTATAGATTTCTAAAATTATATTATCTCGAAAATGACAGTGTGTGAATAAGCAATGTTTGAGAACTAAGTCATCGATATCCAATTGCACAAAACAATATTAAGTAATGATTTTTTTTCAAACTATTCAAACGAAGTGTATGTTTTAGATTTATTATCGCGACTTTATCAAAAAATAAGTCAAAAATTTATATAAATATATAATATTATATAAATTTTAAATAAATATTTTTTTATAAAATATTTTTATATAAATTATAAAAATATTATATAAATTTAAAATAATTATCACCATTCCCGTCGTCTTGTTGGACGGAATTACGCTCGGAGAGTATATTCCGCAATCGCAAGGAATTACAAACTGTGACCATGTTTCTGAGTAACAATGCATTTTAATAATTATTAATTAAATTTGTTCAAAGAAAAGAATTCGTGCCCGCACCGGGACGAAGGTGACGGGAATGTTGATATGTATATATACATACACATATATACACATACATACAAGGAGAGATAATGGCGCTACTGAAAACTGTTCAAGGGAGTGGTTGTCTCGGTAGCATGGTGGGTAGAGCAGCTTGGCGTAAACCAGAGGGCCCGGATTCGAATCAAGGTCGGGACAACCAATTCTTTGAACAAATTTACTTAGTACATTTTTAAAAGATTAAAAACCATAAATTTCGTCAAATCGTTACGGAAGGGGTTACGTTTTTATTCCATTTACTTATTCTACACAAAAACCATTATAAACTGTGTCTATTTATTTCACGTAAAAACACTGCAAAACTGTGTGTTACGACTGTGGGGGCAAATTCTTTGCTATTGCACGTGGTCCCCATTTGCAAACTCGCGCAACCTAATACAGATTCTGCTCACCTGCGCGCGCAAGCGACTGCGCCTGCGCAGACCACCTGGGCGGCCGCACCACAGCTCTGCGCAGAAGAACAGCGCGGACGCCGCCAGACCCGTGCACAGCAGCTGCAGATGTGCGGCGACGTCCTTCAGCGCCAGAACCTTCGGTGCGTCGGAGTGCCCTTGCGGTGCGCCGTGTTTTGGCGCAAATACGCCAGAGCGGATGAGAACTCCACACGATGTGTTGTAATTGTCCTTCCACTTACTTACAAGTCCCGTCTCTTCCATTTGCAATATTAACAGTTTCAGAAGTTCAGACCACGGCCAATTCCTGTAGAAAAGGAGAAGGTTTGAAATCAAAATTATAAATGTGACTCCGTCTGGGTTAGCGCAGATAGAATTATCGCTGTGCTTCGAATTTGATCACGAGGTCCTAGGTTCTAGTCCCGACCATACGGGATTTTCGGCAGAAAATAGATATGTAGCTACGTCGGCAGATATACAGCTACGTCAAGTTCAGCTGCTCTATGGAAGTGGGTTTTAACGGCTAGGTATTCCGATAGCTTTCACCATTTAATTCCAGGCGAATGCTAGCGCGATACCCGAAAAGGCAGACCAGGGATCGCGATCTATCTTTCCTTCCCCTTCCTTATCCTATCTCCTCCTCTTGCACACCCTTATCCTCTCGTGCATTACACCACCACATGTCAGGGGGTAGGCAGAGGCTTAGGGATTGTCCTAGATGGAAGAGATGCCCATCGCAAACCGAAGTGAAAGTTGGAGCCTGACCTCACCATCCACCGAGGGAGGAACACCGCCACTACTCGGGATAAAACCCTCACCGCTCTTAGGAGAGCACACCAGCCACAGGGGTTATGTGCCCTGAAACATCAATCAATCAATCAGTTACTAAAATGAGTCATTTCTGACCATCTCAAGTCACATAAAATATTTGTTGTCAATAAAATAAAGAAAAGTAGTAGAGGCAACTGCGAGAGGTATAATCTATTTTGTTAGATTTGATTTTATCGAAATTGGAACACGCCTATTTTCACGACGTATTAGCGACAGGCACCTCTAACTTGTGTGTACGATTCCTGGAAGTGCAATTGATGAATGGGAAAACGAATTATGGTACCGCCCATTAGGTATCTTATATTCCAAAAAAAAAATTGTTTGCTAATTGTCTTGGGCTCACCTTGCATATGGGTACTTTTTCTCAGTTTCTTTTCTTGCAATATGGGTACTGCGAACCATGTTCTTGAACAACTCATCACAAATTGCTTTCGCTCTTCATCTACAGAGAGTAGTGCATGATAACCTTGCATTAATTTAACAGCCCCTTCAGCACAGCCAGTCACAGCTTTCAACTTTATAAATAACTTTTCAGTTTCTAAATATAAAGAGTTCCTTGTCCAGGTCGAAGGACATTCTTGAATAAAAGTAGCATTCATCTTCAGGCAAGAGATTAGATATCTGTTTTTGATTGACGCAAAGTCCGCTATTGTTATCAATGAAATGAAGATTAAATTTAATTATGATATGTATTGTATAGTACCTAATTAATCATTAAAGAACAGTTATCGGATTCAATTGCTCTTACCACATTATTCTCCACCAAATTGTCCACAAAAAGGAATGTATCATTTTCCATGTGAAGATTTTCTCTGGTTAAATTTGCTACCATTTTCATTTGATTTGTACGTCTACCTCATCTTCAAAGAGTGATACGACCGACAATTCTTCTAATAAATAACATATCGTGTCTCCTTTTTGAAATTGTGGAATCTATCTTTTAATCAGATTTTACAACTTTTTAAAATCAGATATATTGAAAAGGAGCTTTCAAAGCTGCACTGCACCGAAGTCACAATTTGACATGACCAGGTACAATGAACAGAAAGAGGTTTTTGAGGATTACATTACATATTTCACATTGTAACACACATTGTAAAATAGGTTCGTGTAAGTGATGAACGCATAGAAAGAACCACAATTTTTTGTCTCAATTCCCTTCTAGAAAGTCACATGCTCCTTTCAAACGTCAAGTGTTTGATTCAGGGGTGTCACAACAAAAAAGTTGTACATTGTCTCTTACACCTCAGTTAACACATTACAACTAGAATTAGTGTGATTTTTCTCAGAACAATTCGCAATTTTGTAAACCTGATGAGCTACTCACTGTTCCCAAATGTAAGAACAATTGGAAGTATTTTTCCTTTAGATTCCTGATATATAATGCAGGCAACAGATTACAATACAATTGAACACACACGCGCGCGCACACACACACACACACACACGCACATGCACACGCGCACACACACACACACACACACACAGATTTTATTGTTTCTTAACGTTCTCTCCTTGGGGCTGATTTGAAAAATAGAAGATTTATTTGTAGAGAGTTCTTGTAACAAAGTGCGTTTGCTGTCAACTGAAGGATGAAAACAGGATCTCTCTCTTACACACAGCTGACATCTATCTAAAACATTAGTTTAGAAGAAACGAAATTATTGATGTCATGCCTTGCAACATTCTGTGTTGATGTGCTCTTGAAAGTCCCTCCTTAAATTCACGAACGATGATTTCATCTGAACTTGCAAGTTCAGAGGCCATACAGCGGGGGAAAAATCACCAACACCTCCCTCCCTAGCAACAAACAAGCATTACAATTACGAATCTAATTACCATGATTGACGTGCCCGGAATCACTAAACAGCCAATCAATCAACAGTATTTCTTTTGACCAAAGTAAAAACATCCTTCCTTTTTCCAACGTAATAATTTGTAAAACATTCGGATGTCAATTCGCAATATTAAATAGATTGATCAACTTATTTCCAAACTCCTCACGATGCTTAAAAATAGCTTCACACTGAATCGCATTTTAATTTTTTTTCCACTCCTAATGTATAATTTAATAAGTTTTGCGAAAATGCTGATTAGCTGTTGTCGGAATTTTTGATTTCTCCCACAATATGTACTCACGAACCACAAGTTTAGCGCTTGTACTAACTGTTAATTTTAATTCCCGTATAAGACTTCAAGCTCTTGTTTATTTAATGGCAAATTGGACCACTTATTTGGTGTTTCATATTAATATTTAATATTATATCTTATTAACAACACACGTTCCTCAGCACTGCTTATGCCTCAACATATAATATTATGTTAGATTAGCAACTTGTAATCACGTGTGACACGCCCTACTCAGATGTGGGTGGTATTGTCTGGACTTGTCCGTCATGCGAGTTGGCGCTCAAGTCGGCGGGTTAGAAAGCTCCGATCTCAACAAAACTTTGTACAGGCATGTTTTAAGGTCATTCGACCAAAATTGGAGGGTGAGAGTTCAAAAATTTTGAAGTCGTAAAATAAGGGACAACGTACTGCCCATGTTGAAAAGACAGGTGAGCTATTGTGCAGCCTTTTCGGCTTCATCCAATGCTTCAGATACTTTGCGTCTGATTATTGGTGGGAACGTAAATGCAGTTATTACCAAAATTATTTTCTTGTAACGCGTCATTAAAACATATATGTGTATATAAAGCATTTATTTTAAAATAGGGCATCTTTTATTTCAACTACACCTTCAACGTGATATTTTTGATTGGTCACCGTTGAAAATAGTCCTGAATGCCACTTTTAAAATGTGTCTCAACAATTCTCGCTGGCCATGCAGCAGGGCGTCCAACGTCTGGCCGGCCTTTTCAAACAAAGTGCACGTGTTGTGTCACGTGGTTCGTGACGTATCTGCTGCTGCGGAGAATGAGGAAAAATCGGTGCACCGGACAAGCTTACCAATGTCTTTTTCACATGGAATGTTCAACGCTTCAGGGCCAGAGGGCTCAATTCCTCAAAGTGCATTGATGAATAGAAAACGGATTGGAGTACTACTGCTGTACTGCTGTTTACTTGATTCATATCGTTCTGTTAATTAAAATTTGTGTTTTTCAAAAACTTGGCGGACACTTGAATGTCATTGTTATATAACCTGAAATTTCTTCTTAGTAATTACTTTTAATTCACAAATCTTACCAACAGAAAGAAAAAATTAAGAAACCATTGGCAAATTCCAGGTATGTTTTTTATCCCTTTTATTTACTCACCGTCTGCTGCATAAATGAGGCTGGAAAGAAGAAACACTTTCTTCCATTTCTCTATAGAACAAAACAGACGGGTTAATAGTAGCACCATGAGTCTTCCACAATTCAGAGAGGTAGAATAGTGCATAACGTTCGTTTGTGTTATTTGTGAAAATTGCTGCATACTCTTTTTCGTTATTCCAAACGATCCTAGGAATCTTTGATAGTTTCTCTTTCACCTCTGGCATGATATTATGCTGAGCTATTAACAAAGTCATCTTTTCTTTAATCAGCTGATCGAAGGTATTTATCTCTGCATCATGTTGCGGAGTCGTGATAAGGTCAAACAGGCGGCCCTGCAACACAAAACTGATATAGAATAAAATCTGATGAGTACGAGTCGGTTTTTATTAACCAAAAATTAGCAAAATTTGCATCATTTATGACCAAAATCTATATATTAATACAAGAAAAGACGATCTAAAAGTCAACATGGTTTTAGATTTATTTATTTATTCAAAAAACAGTTTAAACTGTATGTGACCTATGGGAGAGAAGATCATCTGCGCACATTTTCTTAAGTTCCAGAATTATTTCCCATCATTTTAACTATAAATAGTAGAAAAATGAGTAAAAGTTAAATATAAAAAAGTAAAGGTAAAATTTAAAAAAGCACGAGATTAGAAAATTTGAAAAACTGAAAATTTTCGATCTCAAGTTATAGAAAACTTATATGCAACGGAAAACGAACTGCAAATTTGATTTTTCTACATTGCTAAGAAAACAGTAACTCGCCCTTACTTCTACCCCTACCACTATAAGCAAAAGGATATTTAAACAAAGCGTGCGCTTCGTGAAGCTACATTTAAGACCAAAAGCAAAACAAGCGACCATCTCAGCATTTCATCAATGTATCACGAAAACTGGACAAAAACCTGATCGAGATGGGGGTCATTGACCCAGAAGCTGAAGTACGTTACTTGTTGCAAGCATATTAAATCTTTAAAAAATGTAGAATACAAATATAAAGTAATTCATTATATATAGTTCGGATACCGCTGGTATTTGTGTGAATTCATGAGACGAATCATCGGAAGTTGAAGATATTTCTGATCAAGCTGAGCCTTCATCAGACATCAGCGAAATATCTCTTGAGGGATGCATAGTGTTAGGAGTGAAAATGCTGATACATCCAAAAACCGGGATACGAATTTTAAACTGAAAAATCAATGGATTTATTAGATTAATGTGCATTTTAATCAGAGAAATGTCGTTTTAATTTCGAAGCCGCAGCTGAATCTTTAGGATACCCACAGTCTATTTCAGAAGTTTCCGGCCTCATCAAGATATATTTCATTAATGAGAAAACCATCTGAGCAATTTTTATCTTTGACGGATGTAATACTATAAATTTGCAGACTACATGTGGCAGTTTTGTGGAGAGATGTTCGCGAGTTGGATATTGTTCGAGAAATCACATGGGATTTAACTTCTTAACAACAAAGATAACAGCGAAATGTTTGCAAGAAGAAGGCTGCTAAGTATTTAAAGAAAATGAAGCTCGTTATGTTTCTTTTCATTGAGATGGTAAATTGCTACTTGCTTTAAATGTGAGAGATTAAAAGAAAAATTTCCATTGTCTTATGGTATAAAAATTCGATCACAATTGCTTTGAGTGCATAAATTAATTTTCTTTTCTAGAAAGTAGCGAGCTATGGCTTTCTGGAATGTTCTAAGAGATCTGATATTAGAAGATGTACAGAGGAAATGAATGGCATTTAAAGACGGCTGGTGCGAGGCCTGGGTAGTCACTACCCTGAGAAAGGCTGCGATAGAACAGGCGGAACGCCGGCCTCTCAGCCAACGACGCGGCGTCTCCCGGACAGGAAAGAAGTCATGAAATGGAGCCGCGGAAGCTTCGTGTACCTGTGTAGTATAATTTTATTGCAGAATTTGCAAAGATTGTTTTTGATAACATTTTAAATTTATCCACTTTTTGGGACACCATTTTGTTGGTGCTCTTCAGTAGCATTTTTGCTCCTACCTGCCATTGCTGTTTGTATAAGATCTATCTATAAAACAGGAGATATTTCTTTCGATAATCCAAAAACCACAAAATGAGAAATTTTGCAGTCATTTTGCAGTTTTCTTAGAACATAGCTTTACGAAGCAGTGAAGTTGAAATTCCGAATCGGGTACAGCATGAAATATATAAAGACAAGGAAAATACATGTGTTGCGCCAAACTCTCCTTTGAGCAATTAAACGAGTGCATAACTTTGTCTACAATAAGAACTAAATATTTTCGGTAACAACAATTCTTTACAGACGTGTATAGGGTTCTTAAATTACGACCACGTTTATTTCGGAGCTTCCAAGATTGATTTTCAGCTGCTCCTCATATTTTGCTCTGTTACAAGTTCGAGAACGACAAATGGCAAGAAAGGCGCTAACAGCTCACCTGATACACTGCCACGACGACGACGGCGCTGGCGAGCATTGCGGCGGCCAGCTGCAGGCGCTGCGGCGTGGCGCGCACCCTGTCCTGCGGGGCGCCCCCGCACGAGGAGAAGGCGCGCAGCGCGGCGGCGGCGCTGGCGGCCAGCGACTCGCCCGCCACCACGCGCCACGCCAGCGCGTACGCCACCGCCGCCCCCAGCAGCGAGAGCCAGATGCGATGGGAGAACACGCTCAGCGGCAGCGTCCACGCTGGCAGCGGCGGCGCATACGGCACAAGCACAATGTAGCGAACGTTCTCTCCGGAGGACACAATATCAAACAGATGTGTGAAACCTCCCACAATGGCCATGAACTTCCAATATTGAGGCACCAAATCAATAGTTCCCTTAAGTATAAATTGTTCTACGGCGTCTGTTGCTACGGTACCAGTCAGCTAGAAACATAATGTCTGGTTAATCACAGTACTATACGGAAACTGGAAAATTGCGAATTGAATTGTTTTTGGCATTTTCCCACAACTGCAAGTAAGAAGATAATGTTTTATCATAATAAAATCTGTTCTTAAAAATAGATGTTTAAATAGGGTCTGATACAATTCTTAGGAAAATATGAGTCGTTTTCTCTTGATTGAAGGCACAATAAAAGCTATTTAAAAAATAAGATTTTATGAGAAAGGATTTACAAATTTGTTCTTTACATTTTTCTATTAAAATGCAAAGTAATATTATGAAAGATAATCCAAGACACATTTCCGTTGAACACACTGAATTTTCGAAAATTGCAAAAGTTACAAGTAATGAAAGAAAGTATGTTACAACAGTATGTACTGTTGTAATATCATTAGCTTTTATTTTCTTTCATTTTAATTTCATAGTGAAGGAAAAAGATCTTCATGCTGCAGCAAAAAACTCAGTTTTTCGGCAGCAAAACGCATGTTGTGGATTCCTGATACAAACTAGAAGATATGTCGCTTCTATAAATAGTACCTAACTTCCTCCAATACGGTGTGTAATCGGAATTCACGTGTCAGAGATATTGGATACCGAATAACATTGATTACCATCAAAACTTCTCTCCGACTTTCTATGTCTGTCCCTCTGTCCGTTAACAAATGGAATATCCGAAATAACGAATGTAACCGGTCTGTTTGAGTACAACGTGCAGTCGTAAAGAAAAATTATGTATACTACAAATACTTACGTAATCAGGCGCATTCAGAAAAGTAATGGAGATGTTGATGTTATATCGCTTCCTCATCTCCTCCCACAGAGGTATAAAGTAACCAACCAGGCGCACTTGGACGCCCCTGAGTCTGAAAGTCATGTTTGCGTAGGCGTACACTCTGAAGACCACTGCTCGCGCTGAGAAACCACTCGGGCTTGGTGTTCGCGCCGCTAGGAGCGCTGCAGCCGCCCGTTCACCCTCGTCGCCGCCACCTCCACCACTCTTCCACCTGTACGCACGCTTCCTGCGATCAAACATAATTACCGTGCATGTGAAATTAGATAGCTTAAATTATTACTATGCAGTTATGTATATCATTAGACTAATTGAAAGCATCTGAAATAATATTTTAAAATGTTTCCTTCATGACCGTGAAATTTGCCTAAAACATCAAACGTGACTATGCATTTCTTCACTTCTCAGATAATACTATAATAGTACAAACTCTCCAGTGAATAAATTTTGAATACTGACCTAGCACAAATTCCGTTTGGTGTCTTGGCTGAGTGATTTCGGGGCGCGTCAACTACCAGGGTCATTAGTCCCGTAAGTGAAGTGCTTGTTTAGCTGTGAAATAGCGGTAGTCTTTTCTCGCTGTAGGGTGACATCCGGTATCGACACACGTCGGCTAGCGGGGTTTTCCCCAATCGGGTGTCTCCCACCGGCGGGGCACCGCCCCAGCCGGGACAAGCTCAAGTTCCCAACCCGTCTCCCGGCATGTGTGGTAGCGTAGTGCATGTTTGTGTAAGTGTGTGTATGCAAGGGGATGAGGATAGGACAAGAAAGAGAATGGAAATATCTCACGCGGCCCTTGGCAGTTTGTTAGGGTACTGCTCCTGCATTCGCCTGATGTTGATCGGAGAAACGACGGAAAACTACCAATCAGAGCAGCCGGCCGCGAGAATTCTCCTCCAAAAGCAACTGAATTCGCCAGCTGACAAGCTAGTGTCGAAAATCCTGCCACCGTTGGGACTAGAACTTTGGACCTCTCAGTCAGAAGAAATTCAGTTTAGAAATTTGCCGATTGAAAATTCATATCTTTTTGATAAGTAATCCCTTTTTTTCAACCACACGGGTAAAGGAAGGTAGCGCGAGGCGAAATTAATTCACTGATTTCATTACTTGATCGGGATGGAGTTTCGTTTGTAAGTTTTCTTTAATTCTTCCTTTAGCGATGTAATCAATGATTTGGAATTGTACAATGTTTTTATAGTCGTTGATTTAGTTACATGTATAGCCTCGTATCACATTGTGTAGGAGAGTTGCTTGTGTTGATGTGTTTCATTGTGTAAGAGTGTTGCATTTATTAAAACATTATCACATTCGAAAAGCTCACCATTTCGAGGCTCACAATTTGCCTCATCATTATGCTAAAATCATTACAGAAGTGTGTCGGTAATTCGCGGTGGACGGAACCAGACGTAGCACGAAAGAATGAAAACTCTAGTATTATCGAAAATAATTAATTTATTAAAATAGAAATATGAACACAGCCGGTCCAGATGGCCGAGATCGTTAAGGCAGTAGTGCCGCAGCGACCCCTGGCCAAAGGATGGCGGGTTTGAGTCCCGCCTCCCGCATGGCTGTATTTGTACTTCACCCCCTATTATCACCATATCATGTATTATTCATAGTTACCATACCGTTAAATACAATAGTGGTCGCTTGTGACTTAGATGTTGATGCGACCTCAAATAAGAAAAAAATATAAACACAACATTTAAATTTCCAAGTATGTATATGCCAATAATATTCTTACATAATATTATTACCCTAACTGCTGAAGATGTTAATTACATCTTAAAGTAAATGTCGATTGTTCTTTTGTTTATGAACATTGTTTCTTTCGAGTGTCGCAATATATCCAACTATCTTCTGAACATCACATTGTCAGCAGGAGCTGCCTCACATTGCTGTTCTACGTTCGCCATAGCGACCTCTAGCGCAACAAGGCGCTCCTTGTGAGTCACACGCGCTGTGCAATCAGTCAGATACTCCTCTACTACATTAATGATATAAACTACAGCTGCATCCGTGAATTCTAGTTGTTCGTCAATTTTTGGCCATTCTTCCACCACAGAATTATCAGTGTTTTTGCACCTTGGGATTTTTTAACTTAAATTATACAAAGACACATCGTTCTCATTAATGTCCTGATTTGGTAAAGGAAATAATCGCCCTCAAAAGGTTTAATCATTTTTATTAATTATTACCCAGAGTTAACTTTCGGGAAAACACTTTTCCCTTCCTCAGTGGGTCTCTAGTAAGGAGGAGAAAATTGAAACATTAACACAAGTTGAACAAAAGATATATAGTGAACTTAGGTAAAAACAAACAAATGATATCTAAAAATGAAATAACATATAAAATTGAAAATACTTACCAGATTCACTAATAGAAACAATCACCGAATTTCCATTTTTATATACAATTGATTTCTTAATCTCAATTGGATGCTTTGACCTAAAATTCAACTTAAAACTCAAAAATAGAATTTGAAGAAAATAATTTTTTATTTAAAAATCTGTTCTCATTAAGGCTAAATTTTAAAAAATTCAGATTATTATTTACTTCTGGTTCTGAAGGAAATTTAATATTTTCATTAAAGAACTTAAATTTAGTTACCAAAAGTGAATATGATGGTCTGGGATGATTAAAAGCGTATCATCAAAATACCTAACATGTAATCACTATTTTTAAGCACTTCGTTTCAAATTTCCGCTTGACCACTTCAGCTAGCGATCATCCATAGGTTTTGGGGATATCCTTTTCTCTTAACATTTTTTATTATTGCACATATTTCACAGAAATCTGCGCAAAAACAATTGCAATTTTCCAAAAAAACCCTATAAGACATTAATTGAAGAACTGAATATGAATAACAAATTTCATTTGAAATTAGTGGTGCTACTGAATGGCACAGACTTTCGTACTTACATTAACAGTAAGTCGATTGCATTTCTCACCTGCCTGTTGCCTGGTCGTGTGCAATTCCTCTCCAAGTGGCTGCGGCTGCATCTTCGCGCAGAACCACTCCCCGGAAGGACTGGTGTTCCAGCCTCAAGTACTTAAGCACTTGCAAGTCTTCCTTCAGGTCACGTTCACTCTCTTCCCATTGCATCCCTCTTCCACTCCACCGCCACCGCCCCCGCTCCCTCTCCCTCTCCTCTAGCACTTCCCCCACCATGCGGCCCACCCGCTCCCCCTGTCCCTGCCGCCGCGCGCCCTCGTCCCACTGGGCCTCAGCCGATTCCTTCCCACTCAGAAGCAGTTGCAGTTGCTCGGTGAGCTGTGCCCATTCACGTTGTAATTGCGACGTATGACGTGCAATACGATTAGTCCTATGACCTCGGGACCCAAAAATGTTCTGTACACAATGATGCTTCTGAAGTGGTGGCCTGCTTATTGCCATGACAATAGGCACAGCTGAATTAAGCTGCACATTTCGATGAGAATTTCCGGCAAAAAGCTGAAAATTTAAAGAAAGCAAATTTGTTATCAAAGATGAGTTGCTGTCAGCCTGAAACGTCATTTAGTTTTATTTGCCAGACTTATGCTAAAATACAAGACTGTAATTCGGTTTTTGCAATTATTTTTTCAATGAATAGGTTTAGGGGAACATTAAAAGCGCAGAAGCGAAGCAGTCTCCTTACCTCATATACTTTCGTCATCAGCGGCTTTGGAAAAGTGTCTTTGAAGAGGAAGTAGAGCAGGCGTAGGCGCTGCGGGCCGCCAGCCACATAGCCGCGCGCCTTCGCAGCCACTGCGGGGCGCAGCCCTGGCGGCTGGATGTGAGCCCGGCGCCACAGCAGCCAATCGGCGCCGCGGCCGCGCGTGGGAGGGGCGGGCAGCCAGCGGCGGGCCGTCGCCCACGGTCCACCAACGCCCCACCGCCCCGCCCGCGCCGCAGCGCCCACGCCAGCAGCGCCAGCGCCGCCCCGCGGCGGGCGGCGCGCCCCGAACACGTGCCCTGCACCCGCTCTCGCCCTTGAGGCCACAGGGCGCAACGCCTAGGCACAGGGCCAGGGCCCGCGCCGCTCCCGCACAGCCCAGCTCTCTCCCAATTCTCATTGCTCTCCCACTCCCCATTGCTCTCCCACAACCGATCACTCCCTCACTCCTAATTGCTCTCCCACAGCCCACCTCTCTCCCACTCTCCATTGTTCTCCCACAGCCCACCTCTCTCCCACACTCCATTGTTCTCCCACAGACCACCTCTCTCCCACTCCGCATCACTCTCTCACAACCCATCACTCTCCCACACTTAATTGCTCTCCCACAACCCACTTCCCTCGCACTCCTCATTGCTCTCCCACAATCCATCTCTCGCCCTCTCATAATTGCTCTCACACAGCCCACCTTTCTCCCACTCCTACTTGCTCTCCCACAGCCCACTTCCCTCCCACTCCTAATTGCTCTCCCACAACCCATCCCCCAACTCTTCCATTCCTAATTGCTCTCACACATCTCCTCTCTGTCCTAGAGGCCAGCGTTCTCTCTCTACATTCTCTCGAACTCCAAGAGTCCTCGATTCTTCTTCTCCTGTGGCAGCGGTGTGGTAGCTTCTCCTGTGGTAGTTCCTGTTTTGAGCAACGCCGGTTATCGTCGCGATCGAACCTCTTGCTGCAACCAACTCCCTTCAAAGAAACGGCCGCTAATAGTGAGCAACACTGGTATTAACTCTCCCATGAATAAACCTTTTTATCGTATAATGCATAGCACAGGCCTCAGAGGCGAATAAGTATAGTATTATTGTCGTCTAAATGCTTTTAAAATTTGTTAGGTATTACGTAAATAAAAATAAACACTTAATGATTTTTAATGTAAAATATAAATTTTCTAAAGAGCTAATTTTGTACAAAAAACTGTCTGATGCAAGAATCTCTATCTTCAATTTTGTAGTTTTGAGTTTTTTGTAAGTTTTCGAAAAAATCGAGCAATATACGAATATGATATTGGCACCATATTTTTAAGCGTCCCTATTTACATACGTGAAGAAAAAAAATTAGAAGAAAGTTTTGAGGAAAAATGCCTAACTTGAAAGCACAAATTATGTAAAAAAGTATTCAAATATATCAAAAAAATTGTACATGACCATTTTAAAAAGAGACCGTTTTAAAACTATGGAGAAAAAAATTTACTTGAAGGAAAAATCTCTATCTTTAATTTTGTTAAAGTAGAAATCAGGCGAAACAAGTTCAAACTTTTGATATTTTCGAAAATGCATCGTTAACATTGAAAATTGGACTTATGTCATCTTTACAAGTATATTTTACTCTATACTTTCAAAAAATTAAAGAAAAAATCTGGCGAAAATTTTGAAAATATCGTAGGGGCATCGTGTCAAGTACCCCCAAATCTTAAAGAAACGTTTTCAAAATGGCGGCGCCTCGAGAACAGAGAGATCAACCGGGGAATATCCATTTTGGAAAAAATCGTACGTATAGTTTAGGCACTTGTGGTGTTTTCAAATGGACACACTGATAGAGAAAGACATACGATTCTGCTTACGGAGATTAAAAAAGAACTAATGCTGCGGGAAAAATGGCGAATTTTCGTCACAAAATCTCGTAGTACCGGGCCCTGGTAACGAAAAAGTGGAAAAATCTTGTTCCTATTCAGTGGCGACGAAACATGGAGCCAGGTAGCAAAAGTTCAGTGTAGAAGCCAAAATACCAATTAAAAACCGTCTTTTTATTGGGTAAACGGTATTTTATATAGTGTAAGTAGTATTTACACAAATTATAATTACTACACTGTAGTTAAACATTGATTTATATCTCTAAATTTGATGGACTATCTATTCCCTTGAATTACGAACTAATGATCATGCCTCAATAATTAATTTGCAAGGAAGTAACTTTTTCTAATAAATTATTGCATTTATTGCATGATGGAAGAATAAAATACAACTATTTACTCTAGATCGATCTAGTCCATATTTGCTGCCGAATCAGCAAATCACCGGTCAGGGAATACATACAATTTCATGACAACTATGCAGAAAGCACATCACATGCTGGGCTAGTATTCTCTGCGACGTTTGCTTTGATGAACAAAGCGCACCTCCCAGCTGCCCCAGCTCCCCAAACACTGCGAGCCGGGCGGCGGCGGCAGCGGCGGCCAAGTGGGACAAAGCCATGTTTGAAACGGGGACGCGGAAGATCGCTGGTCGCGGGCCTTTATGCAAATTGAACGCTCGCGAGTACACCGGAGCACAACGCAGATTTAATTCACATTACTATTTGCCAAACTATTGTCACACTAATTGACTGAATGCTGATTGTATTAGTCTATTGATACCGCTTGCTGTATAAAACCGATAATGCCTCGGTCCGTGTAAGGGATACAACATTGGGACTCGCGTCGCTAAGTTAAACTGCACACATTGGCGTATAGAATTATGGCGACAATAGAAACCGAAATGATTGGTCGGGCGGAAGAGGGTGGGAGGGGCATCGGATGCCGCCGATGCGGTGTGGCGCGGCGCGGCGCGGCGTGGCGTGGCGTGGCGTGGCGTGG